TTATCTTGTATTGCACCAAATTGCACAAATTGAAGGTTAATTTATTAAATGCAACAAAGCTGTCACCTACCGTCGGTGAGGGGGAATAAACCCCCTTCTCACACCACGCCCTCAAGTTCGCTTCGCTCCCTTTGGCATCTCACTCTCGACCTATTCATCCAATGTTGGGTAGCCCTGCAGGGGTTGCACCCCAGGATGAAATGAACAGGGGAGGCGGGGGGAAGGTGGGGAAAGGGGGGAGGGTGAAACGTAGGGGTCGGGGGGTTGCTGTTTTTTTACCGTAAATGCGTTAACATCGCCACCACGTACACCATTAAGACGGATTTTCTATTTGGGGTACCTTGTTTACATAAGGACAGCAGAGTCCGCGATAACAGTTTAGTGTTGAGGTTTTTTTGGACAGGGTGACTGTTGTTACTTGTGATCTGTGGTACTGCAGCTGCAATGCGGTTATGTGTTAATTGACGGTTATTTCTCTCTACGTAATGGAAGTTGAACACGCGGTCACGAGGGCCTTGGTCGGAACGCGTGCCGAAATCTGGACGGGATTCTTCCCGCGCCGTAAAAAATGTCTTTATGTCCGTGGGAATTTTAACGGCGTGCCAAACACTTTTAACGTTGGGGGAGTTTTCCCAACGGGCATGACACGGCCTCTCCCGGCGTCTTGCGCAACTGTAAGCCGAGAACCCTGCCCTGTAATAATATATTTAAGTCAGAATAGCTAAAGAGCCAGGTCATAGACAGACGGTCAGGGGGACATAAAACCTTATCTGCTATTTAGTAGTTTAAACCCGACCAGGCTGATGGTGAGCTATAAAGCAGGGCTATTTATAGGGCCTGCGGCGGAGCGGAGGCCTATACTTCTAGAGCTAGTACAGTACTAGTAGTAGTAGTACTAGTACTAGTAGTACTAGTGTTGTAGCTCTAGTACTATAGCCCGCGGATAGCTGCCGCAGGCCTGCGGCAGGCAGCTATCCTTCAACCGGCTATAGTACTAGAGCTAGTAGTGTAGTAGCTCTAGTACTATAGTCTATAGAGTATAGCCCGCGGATAGCTGCCGCAGGCCTGCGGCAGTCAGCCATCCGCGGGCTATAGCTGAGTATAGGGCTATACTAGTACTGTATTACTAGTCTATAGTCCTAGAGCTAGTAGTAGGCTAGTAGTAGTGTAGATACTTTTTGAAGGTGTTATTACGGTAAGTCAGAAATCTTATCTTACCATGACTCTTGACAGCCTTGTCAGTGAACGAAGCATAGCGACAGGTAACTCCACCTGGAGCACTTTTACCTGGACACTTTCGTATCTAGCAGAACACACCAGGGACAAACAAAAACTGCTGCCAAAGGCAAGAAAACAAAACTGTGGGAAAGAGGGGCGCTTCGATCGTACGCTGGTGGGAACATAGATGGGGCTGGGATCGGCCGGTCGTCACATAGACGATTTTCAGCGGTAAGTTCTGTTCACATGCATTTCCCTCTTATGTTAAACAAGAAAACACAAATACTGAGAAATTATCGCTTAATTGAAGTTCTGCGAGTTACTGCTGCTGACGTAGTATGCGATGTTTGTGAAAGAAGATCAGCTAATTACGTGTCGCCGTATGTTTTCTCCCTAATCGGCTACTGTAGGCATACTTACTATTACTGAGTCTCAATAAAAAAAAAAGGTAAATAAACACGAAATGTACCAAACTTCAAAGTCTTAATGTTTCTCTACTCTATTTCGCCTATAATCACCTGTAAATGCCGGTCAAATGCTCATCTGCAACACACAAGTACATCGAACGCCCGCGCGCGCTGTGCTGCGTGCACAAACAACATGAATAAGAGAGCAGGTAGGAAAGCGGGATCGCGAAATTCGCTTAACGCTTGCTTCATTTCACACCACAGCTCGAATACACATGCATCCTACAGCTTCCATCTTGGTAGCTAATCTATGTGTACATAAATGTTCACTTGTTCGAATTATAACTCTGGCCTATGTTCTTACCTACTCCCGCCAGAGATATCTCGTGAAATCCTGCAGGAAATGTTCATGCCGTGAAAATATAAAGAGGATGTAAAGAGGACGTATCATCCGAAAATCCCTAACGACGCTACTT